GAAACGCCAGGTGGGGTTGGGTGATGCAAAAGCAAAAGCAAAAGCACCTGTGATTCACTGTCTGGGTAGACACTCACCAAGTTCCCCTGAGCCTAACAGAGTTTGGGAGTAAAGGCTGTAAGGAGTGGCTGGTCAGACAACCCTGAGCCAGCCTAGAAGGCATCTGTGTCTAGGAGTATAAGGTCACGGAGAGAAAATTGGACCTAGGGGGCTTAGCGGTGCAGACAGCAGCCTTCTACGTGAAGTAGATGAGAAGTGATGCTGACTCGGCAAATACCCGGGTGGGCGGATGCTCCTCTGACCCCTATTGATACCTTGAGGTTCAGATGTGCGCGTGGGATTTATATGCAACCCTGGAAAGTGGAAGGAGACCTCTTCTTGGTAAATGGGGGCTAAAAGGATAAATTAACTTCGATTAGGGGAAACTAAAGTTACATTTCTTCAGTATTTGAGTATGTGAGCTGAAATTCTTACCCACTACACAAATTAAAAATAAATTTAAGATTGGTGCAGTCACTGTGGAAAACAGTATGGAGTTTCCTCAAAAATTAAAAATGGAACTGTTACAGGGCACTGAAAAGCTAGGGCATGTGGAATAGGGAAACTGAGACAGGAAAGTTAAAACAAGGCCAAACAGTGTGGGCAATTTGCAGCCAGTTGGTAAATAACCAGCCATTATCTTCCCCAGACAAGGACACTTGAGAGCAAATGGTTAAAAGCCTCCCCAACAAGAAAATGCAGGGAAGGAGGGGGGAAGGGGAAAGGGAAACGGCAGTTTTCCTCCCTAAGCAGAAAAGCCAGCAGTCTCAAGGCTTGGCAAGATAAAATTGCCGGGTGCTTCTTATGAATTCTGGGGAGGCCACAACAAAGTAAAAAAGGGACCTTGGGAATTAACCTGTACCAAAATACTCAGCCGAAGAATTAGACAGGGGTTATATAACTCCTCGGACCCCCACCCAACTCAGTCTTCAGATTAGCCGAGAGCCCGTCTGAGCTTCACAAGCCGTGTGTATAGGTTTGCTTGCCTTGCTTCTTTAATAAAGTTGCATGCTTTAATAAAATTAGCTTCATCACAGTGCAAGCACCTCGAGTTTTCTCACTTAAATTCATTTATATGAGAAGATAAGAATCGAGGTTAACACCTCTATGGTGTCTGTGACAGGTGCCTGAAACAAATCTGCCTTATGACCAGTGCCAAGGCAAAGCCTGCAAGGGTGTGGGATTAGCCAAAGGACTGGTTACAAACTTGATTCTCTGAACTTCAGAATCTCCTTACTTTTACTTCATGCACTATTCAAACAAGTTTGGTTAACTTGAGGACAAGCCAAACCCAGGTTAGAAATGGCAGAGTAAAAAGAGATTGGAAGCTTATTAGTATTATAACAATCAGAAAGCTGGGAAAGGTGCATTCAATGGCAGGAAAAGAGACAGAAAAACAATAAAAAACAAACACAACAAAAGCATATATTTTCAGGATTTTTAACATTAGTAAACTTAAGCCCAGCAACTTCAATAAGCGTGGGTGCTCTGTGGTATTTCATAAACATAACAACCAATGTTCATAATGATTGAGATCAAGAAAATGTTTTGCCAGCACTTTGAGGAGGCAGGAAAGCATAAAATGCGTTTTAGAATGACTCCTCCCCCAAGACAGTTGAAACCGCAGGGGAGTCCACAGAAAGAGTAAGTCTTCCAGGACTCGGGACAGCTGACAGTTTTATTGATCTAATTAAATCTATGGCTTTTTTGTTTTCCTTTGCATAACTGCATGTCATTTTTTTACTATCGCTTGATAATGAACAGTCATTACCCTTCCCATTTTATGACCTGATTTTATTTGAGATCCCCACACCTTTCCAGGCGTTTGTCGTCACGGCATGGTGCACTTGCAAACATAAAATCTCTACGATAAATCACGAATACCAGCAGAGCTCCGGCTGCCGCAACAGCATTCCACGGACGGGGCAGTCTGAACAGCAGCTGCTTCGGCTGGGAAGTCGGAGATCAAGGCACAGGGGGCTCCGCCTGCTTCCTGGTCCACGGGTAACTGTCGCCCCCCTGCGTCTTCGCACGGGGGAAGCGGTGAGAGAACTCTCTGGGGTCTCTCTACAAGGGCGCTCACCCCACTCAGGAAGGCTCTGCCCTCACGACCTAATCACCTCCCTAAGGCCCCATCTCCAAATACCACCACCTTGGGGTTTACATTTTAACATATGAATTTGGGGTGGCACATTCACTCTATAGCACATCCAGAACATACTTCAGAGTTAGGAACAAAAGCAGAATCTTTCCCATTTTCCCACTGATATGTAAGCTCCTTGCAGGCTGAGCGTTTGCTTGCAACTACGCTAAGTACAGTTTAGGAGGAAACAGTCATGCTACACAGGCAGTGCTTAATGCATGTTCGATAACAAAGAACGAAAGACAATAATGTCCTAAAATAAATCTACTCCTGACATTACTACAAGGATTAAAATAGCCATTAATTTCTCACGGGCTTAATTTTCCCTAGTTCTTGGCTTATTAATTCCTTTTGTCGTCTGCTTTTTGGCTTTGGACAGGGGCTGTGCTGAATTCCACACATCCTAATGGACAGCCAATTGTTTCAACTGTCATAAATTCACTATCCCTTCTTTCCCTTCGATTTTCATGCACAGCCTCCCAATTTAACTGTTTTTCTATGAGCGGTATTTTCCCCTTCCCTTTTATTCTTGATGGCTTTGTCACATTTTGAAATATACAGATCTACAGGTAAAATAACTAAAATGCACAAGGAAAAGCAGGCAGGAAGAACTTTAGCCTGTATTTCAGATTACTTTTTTTGTCTTACTTTTTCTATTCCATATTTTCTTTTCTCATCTTGATGTTTTTCCTAAACATGAAATTAAATGTGCCACAACTCCTCCGGAATGAGTAAATTCAAGACAATAGTTGAGTGACAATCTTTAGAAACTAAAATTTATCTGACTTTAAAACTGTAAATCAGTTGTTTTGTTTTTCCTCCAAAACTAGATTTATCAGATATGGAGGGGGAAAAGTATTATGAAGCATTCCAACTTTTTTTTTTTTAATTCTCACCTGAGGATATTTTTTCCATTGCTTTTAGAAAGAGTGGAAGGGAGAGAGGGAGAGAGAGACACACACACATCAATTGGTTGCCTCCCAAACATGCCTCAACTGGGGCTGGGGATCAAACCCGCAACCGAGGTAGGTGCCCTTGACTAGGAATCGAACCCAAGACCCTTCGGTCCGAGGGCTGACGCCCTAACCACCGAGCCAGACCGGCCAGGGCATGCATTTCAACTTTTGATTTGAGTAAGAACAACATGTTGGCTAATTTGTATTGATTTTATCTGCCCATCTAGATGCAATCACACTTTCAAAAGCAGATTTCTGTAATTTGCTTTTCTGTAAAATGTCACCATTGCATTAAACACTTTGAAAGCAGTCTTTGTAAATCAATCTGCACTTATTAGATTTGTTTAAACGATAGCATTAGCATTCCATGCTGAGATTTAATTTGGTTTTAAAATAACTCCCTACATGCAGAACATTTCCAAGGGTGGAGCGGCTAGTTCCCAATTATTTTCACGCCGTCGGTGCTAAATGTGTTTTAATAACTCACTTACCCACAAGCTGTGGGTTCTCTGAAGACCTCCCCATTCAGTGGGATGCACACGTTTTACCTCAAGCTACTGTATATTTTTTAAAAAGGCAAAATGCAAAACCGTAGCCAAATGAAAAGTCAAAGTTCTTACCTTGTTCATGTCAAAGGTATTATAGACTTGGTCAACATGTTGATTGGCCTTTTGATTCAGACCTTGCAGACCCAGGAGTGTCTTAAATTCATGCAGAGTTTGCAGGCCGGAGGGATATTCCATCATAAATTTCCTGTACCACACATAGGTCTCTTTAGCAGGAATTGCTGACAGGCCATCAGCTATAGATTGGCTATTTCCCATCGTCACCCAGTCTACAGCCTTTTCTCAGGCTGTTTTCAGGTAGGGTCTGTTTGTACTTGGTCCCTCACTCTTTACTAAAACTTGAGGCTAACATATGCCCTTAGAAAGCTACTCTAAACCTCTTATAGCTACAGGCTAAATAAGAATAGAAAGCCAGTGAGATTAACTCATCTGCACAGTTTTAGGACCAGGTCATTTACTGCTAACTGATGGGATTGTGCTAACTTGCTATTCAGAGATAGTTTTCTGCAAAGGGCAGAGGTAATAATTTATAGAGGGCAATCCTTGCTGTACTGTTAGCCATAAATTCTGCCTTTGTTCTAGAGTGACACAGTGGGGCCTAATGGAAGAAATCAGAGTTGCCATCAGAAACCTGGCTTCTAGGCTTTGTTTCCCACTTAATAACTACACTGAAACATTACATACCAGTCTCAGTTTCCCTATCTGTAAAATTTATATAAGACTATTTGCCTTTTCACACCTAAATATTGTGAAGATAAATTTAGATGAAAAACATTTTTTTAAAACCATGGGGAAATGATACATTCTGAGTATTCTTAAATTAAAAGGAAGTCTAGGTAGAGGGTAAGAGACATGGGTATTAGTAGTAAAAAAAAAAAGTAGATGTGGTAGGCAGAAAAGTGTGTTTTGCAGACAAAGGAACATATTGGACTGTGTCTCCTGGCATTGTTCTTGCCTTTTTCTTCTTTAGCTGTTCTGTCTTTTCTGGCTCTCCAGTCTGCATCTACCCAGGCTCTCTGCCACTCCAGTTCCCAAGCTGATCTCGTCCCAGCCAATTGCAGTGGCCTTGAGAACTGAGTGAATGAGCCTGAGAACTGTACCTATGCTCTGGTAGAAGAAATGAATTGCCAGGTCATCCTCAAGCCCTCTTGCTACCAGACTGAGGAGTAAGAGAATTATTTCCACCTACCTAAGGCCATCTGGTTCCAAGTATGCGTCTCCTCTCCTAACCTTACTCCCTTTTCCCCCAGTTCCCATATTGACTTGGTTCTCAAGTCTGGTCTCTGCCTGAGTCCCTATACCTCAGTCCTGATTACCTTTTTAAAACCCTAGATTCCTCAAGAACTGGAGCCATGGGGGCCTTAAGTGAACTGTCTTGACAAGAAGTGGTGATGGTTAAAGGGTGAATGTGATTAATTTTGTTTCAAACACACTATTGTAGATTTTCAAGAGAACATTTTAATTTCATAATTATATGAAACAAGTGCTCAATAAGGGCATAGAAATTTGGAGCTCGTTCATTTGGTACTGTTACTTGAAAACCATTAGAGTAGATGAGATAATAAGGACCCAGTCCTGGGGATTATTCAGTTAGGAAATATGAGGAATGTCCTGTTAGAATCTTCAAAAGCCATTCTGTGGAAAGTCTCTCTCCAGACTCTTTCTAAATGTCCACCAGGAGGATGCTCAGAGGCACTGACTTCTTATCACCATTAGCATTTACTAATCACCAATTTTTAGATTCAAGGAAGAATGGATACGGATGATGACACAGGAAGGTAATGAAAGTTTTCAAGGGACCAAGAAAATCCCTCGTGGAAGAAAAAGTTTGGGTAGGTCAGGAATTCAAAGACATGAGATCCAGAAATCATACTTTAAAAAAAATATGCATAATGATTACTTGTTGATCGAGAAGAAAAGACTAAAACTATTACAGATAGTATGAGAATTCTTATGTTGGATACAATATTGATATCTAAACTTCAGGAGTCTTGCTATATAAAGCATTAACCAGTTATAAGATAATGAGAGAAAGAAATAATGGGAAAAGGCTTCATTTATAATAGCTCAAAGCATAAATCTAATTAATTACAATGAATATAGCTAGAATGAACTAGATGTATTTGAAGAAATATTTTAATTGCTAATATAGGGCACCAATGAAGACCTGAGCATATAGAAAGGCATATTTTGTTTGGTCTTGGGTAGAAAGATGTGATATTTTGAAAAAGGCTTTTCTATCTTAATCCAAAATATCACCACAAACCCAACAAAATACAGATAAAATCTGAGGGTGGGTGGTGAGTAAAAAAGCTAAATCTAAGTTTGAATTAGAATTAAACATGCAAAGATACACAGGAAAATTCTAAAATATAAAATTACTGACTAGCCCTACCAGAACAACATGGATGTGACATAAGAAAAGATGGGACAATCAATGAAAAATTATAGAAACTTCTTTTTAGAACTTGGCTCAAATACAAATAAGAATTTAACATGCAATAAGGGTGGCTTGCAGATCAGTGGGGGGAAAGATTGGTTATTTAAGTGACTATCTGGAAACATACACAAAGTTGGATTTTTAACTTAGTCTTTACACCAAAATAAATTCTAGGTGAATCAAAGATTTAACAATATAATTATTAAAATCATTATAACAAAATGGAGTAAAACGTCTTTATACTTTTTGCACTGGAAAGTCCTGTCTAAATATGGCTACAAAGCCCAGCCGGGCGTGGCTCAGCAGTTGAGCATTGGCCTAGGATCCAGGCGATCAGTGTTCGATTCCCAGTCAGGGCACATGCCCCAGTTGTGGGCTGCAGCAGATCAATGACTCTCTCATCATTGATGTTTCTCTCTCTCTCTCTCCCTCTCCCTTCCTCTCTCTGAAATCAATAAAGATATATTTAAATGTAAAAAATATATATATATATGTGGCTACAAAGCCCAGAAGCCATAAACAGAAGAAAATTAAAACAAAAATTTTTTAAATCCTATGTGGCTAAAACCACCATAAAACTTTTTTAAATGAAAAATTATAAGAAAATATTTGTAATACATATAATATAAAAAAGATAATTTCCCTAATATGAAAATAGTTCCTATAAATCAGGAAGAAAATACCACCCAACAGAACATGAGCAAAGGCTAAATTTCAAATAAGCTTTAAACATTTTATCTATTTGATCAGCAAGATTAGAAAGATTGGTAATTCACTGGGTAGGTAAAGGTGTGAGGAAACAGACACTCACACACTGATGTGGGAGTGTACGGGAATAAAATTGTTATGGCGTGTTAATAAGCAATATTTATTAATAATAAAACATACATACCTTTTGACCTAGCAATTCATCTTCTGAGAGTTAACAGATATAATTGCACCTATGTGAAATGAATATATTTAGAAGGATATTCACTGTTTGTGTGCACGTAAATCCAAAAGAATGGGTAAAATGTAAATAGCCATTGACAAGAGAATAGGTAAATAACTTGTGGTATGTCCATGGGACGGAGTAATGAGGAGCAGCTAAAGATGAGAGAGCTCTACATGTACGGATCCTGGTAGGAATGACCTTGCAGGGGTAGGAAGTGAAAAAGCAACATCTTTTGGCTGCTATTCCATCGTATTTGTATCTATATAATGATTTATATGGTTTTATATGCATTGATTGTACCTGAATGGACTCACGAGTACCTGGTAACAGCACACGGCGTGAGAAGAGTAAGTCGCTAAAGACAAGCAGGGGGTCAAGACTTTGCACCATATTCCTCTTCACAAGTTCTGAATTTTATGCCTTGTGCATGTACATAAACTTAAAAGTATACAATTCCACAAATAAATATTAAACGTTTATTGTTTTTGTCCGAAGTTACCAACATTTTTAAACAAACACACACAAAAATAGGTCATCAAAGAAAATGTAAAAACACAATTCTTACATATGTGTAATGTGTGTTCACATTATACTGAGATTTGTTACTTTGCAATAACTCAGTAAGAAAATTATCCTAACTACTATAGCTCAAAGTTTTGTGAGGATTTGTGTTTCCTGCTTTCTGAGTATTGGCTGTAGAGCAGAAAGGGCGTAATGTGTGTCTTTTTCAACCCAAGTTTCAGGAGGAGGTGATTCTGTCGTCCTGTAAATACTGATTTTGAAAACCACTGGTTTCCAGTTTTTACAGTCTTTTAGGTAAAAACAAAATTTAAGCCTAAATGACCTTTCCATCTTTCTTTCTTAGTTGCTCAGGTGGGAATTACAGAGCTCACAGAATCGTTTCTGAAAGAACAGGAAGAGTTAGGGAACAGGACTCGGAAACCTGTAAATTGCAGATCACTCCATTTCCAAAGCACACGACTGTCTCAGTGTTAAACAGGAGGAACTTCACAATAACAAGCACAATTATTATTCTGAAAATAATCTTCCTTTTTCTCACTGGCATTTTAAAAAAGGGAATGTCTTCTCTGACTTCTAGTTTTGAGAAGTGCTTTCACTGTTCTCTTAAGGGAGACTACGTCTTGTATCTGTAGTTCCTTTACTTAGTGTTCCCCAAAAGATTATCTTCTTTAAGCAGAGCTTCTAAATAACTGTCAATCTGCTCCAGGTCTCCTGCTGGACCTCCCTGCAAAAGAAGAGAACCAGTGATGGCCAGGAAAGAAGCTACAGGGAGGGTGGCCTCGGAGCAGTCTTCTCCACGATTCACACACCATCACAACCCACCCTGCATCTGAATAGTGCTTTTAACCTTTCAAAATGTTTTCACATGTAATCTCATTTTATGCTCGCAGGGGTTAGAAAGTTGGATCCTTTTTTTCTTCTTTAGTGGAGGTTAATTTAACTCTTTTTTTTTCCCCCTTCTACTTAATTACTTGCCATATTCCTGAAGCCCCTCCTCTGCCCCATCTCCTTTCCCAGTTATAGGTTCCCATCTCCCATTTTAAAAATTCATGAACCTTCAGCCTCGCAGACAAAACAGATGAGTGGAAAATCCTGACTTCTCTGTTTCCTCTGCAGCATCTTTTCCCACGCACTGGGCTTGCTGCCTGCATCTGCTCCCTTTTCTCTCTTTCCCCCCAGATCTCTGAGTTAATTTCATGCTCTCCTTCCCTGGGCTTCTTGATCGGTGAACAGATGGACAAATGCTCCTTCTTTACTGACCTAAATCTCACTCCCCTCTGGCCCAACCATGGGATCAGCCCACTCTCTGACTGAGCAGATGGAAAAGAGAATTTTTAGGAAGGACCTTTCAGAAACAATCCCAGTTTTATTATTGTTCTCAACAAGTGTCTGGCTCCACCACCCTAGTTTCTCCATCCCTATCTGGTTCCAATAAATGTGCTTTTCTGCTTTGCTCCCTCTGCCCTAGATTTGCTCAGTCCTCTAACAAGGCTGAATGTGTTATGTCCCAGCTGTGTGACTGGGACCCTGTTCCTGAAGACAGGTTTCCACAGTATCACCTAAGTTTCCAAATATTCACTGAGCCCAAGGAACACCGTGCGCGACCCTTGCCGACACGGACCATGCCTGGCCTGTTCGGTCTAGTCTAACACTCTGCCTACCACTCTGCCTGGCAGGCGAGGCTTCCTCCTAGGACTGCAGGTGGGTTCCCAGCTTCTTCATGTGCCTGCACGTCTGCTTTGGGTCTACCTCACCTCAGCCTCTGCTCTAGGCCACTGCAATTGCCCTGGCAATCAGAGGCAGTAAAAACAGAAATTTTAAGTGGGGGGTGAGAATAATTATATTTGGGCAGGAGCCCTTTGCGTACCTCTCCAACGACACTAGGGAAAGCATTTCACGTCCTGCGAGCTAAAGCCCTTACCCCCTATGAAACTTTGTGAATAAACCAAGTTAAATTAGTGTTATTACCCTGACTGTTTGGGGGCGAGCCTAGGGATTTGGCATAGAAGGACAAGCAAATTAGTATTCTTTCATTTTTTTTCCTAGCCAAATATAGATGTGCTATTCTGAGAACCAACAATTTATATTAACTTTCCTGATAAAGAGTGATACTCCATTTCTATGATACAGAATTTCTTTGGTCTCTCTAGTTTTACTTGTTAGTGAAACAACTATTACTACTGAAACTTTACCATATGCCAGACTTTGTATTAGACCTTTTGCACATAAAAATACATCCCACCCTTTACAGCCACAAGAACCAAAAGGAACTCCACTCACATCCCACCCTAACAGGAATAAGTAAACTTGAATAATAAGCTCATTTAGTATTGCTGATAGAAGCACAAATGTAGTTACCATTCTGTGAAAAAAGCATTAATTGTCCTTTTATATTTTAATAATGAAACATTTTAATTGTTGCCTAGACCACCCAAGGAGGGAGGGTGTCTTCTCTTCTGGCTATATATTTCAACTAAGCAAAAACACTTTCCGCATTTTTAGTCTTTAAAATTATTATTATTATTATTTTTTAATGTATCTTTATTGATTTCACAGAGAGAGGAAGAGAGAGGGAGAGAGAGATAGAAACATCAATGATAGTCATTGATCAGCTGCCTCCTGCACGCCCCCTGCTGGGGATCGAGCCCACAACCCGGGCATGTGCCCTGACCGGGAATCAAACTGTGATCTCCTGGATCATAGGTCAATGCTCAACCACTGAGCCACACCGGCTGGGCATTTTCTGCATTTTTAGTTTGCATTCAATGTAAGAGAAATCCCAGAGAAACAAAAACAGGTATATTTTTTTGAAGGAGGGATGGACCGTCAGCTTGAATGTTCCCAGCCAGGACTGAAACCCAGGCAGTCTGGCTTCAAAGTCCGTGTCTCCCCACAAACCCCTTCAGGGCAAGACAAACCTCCACTCCTCCCCCAGTCAGGGCTGTCTGTAGGAGACTCAGCCCCAGCCCTCTCACCTGGCCTGGCCCAGGAAGGCCCTGTCTCTGTTCCAGGTCAGGGCTTATTCTGAGGAAAATGCCACCTGCTTCCTAGCTCACTGTTGATTTCTAGCATTTATGGAAGGACTTTTCAACCTTGGCTACATATATTTTAAATTTTGATGTATTTAACCTAACACGTCTGTGTTATCGTAGAAGGTAAACCTTTCCTCGCTAGCTCAATCAGAGAAGCCCAATTCTTTATGCATTAAAATATACAAACAAGATGGACAATAACCCATATTTTACAAGTGTTTCCTGACCTCTCTTATCTATCCGCTAAGATTAGAAGAGCCTATTTTTATTTACATCTTAGAATAAAAATAAATGAACATAGTTTTCTGTCTGAAAAAATTTAGAAAAAGTTTCCTACTGAAAACATGCTACTGAGGAGACCTGAGGAAAATCAAACTACAACAAAAGCATAAGCCAAGGTTCTGATTTTGTTAAGAGAGAGAATAGACCTTTAAAAAACGTTCTAGTATATACTTCAAAGTTCACTTATTTATGGTTTCAATATCCTTATAGGGAAGGTAAGGGCTAGGTTAATGACTTGTCCAAGGTCAACGAATGGATGCGGCTGTTAGGAGAGGAAGCTAGCTGAGTGCTCTTTCCACAAAGTGTAGTGCTAGTGCTCAAATAAAGTCTCATCACTTACCAGCTGAAGTTTCTGCAACAACGCTGCCAGTTTTACACGGAGATTATTCAGCTTATCCTCAGTAACTTTTCTTTTCTGTTCACATTGCACCAGAGACAGTTCATTAATCACTCCCCTTCTGTTAGCATCATAGATGATAGACTGTGTTTTTCTCTTCAGTTTCTTTTCATATTGGGCCATGTACACATTCTGGATCTGGGAATGTTTGCAAAAACAGCTTTAGTAAGTTTTTAAATTATACTTTCTCCCCTAATATCAGAAAGCAATTTCCTATTTCAATGAGTCACATTTATACCAAGTGTCAACTCCATATGTATATACCATGAGTGGTCCCATGTTCCGTAAACTTAAGGCACTTAGTCTGACAGAAGAAGAGAGAAAGGAAGAAAGATGTGCAACGGCCCAGGGACTATAACAGAAGGATGAGAGGCGCACAGAGCACCCCGTGCTTTGCACTGAAGGAGGGATGCAGTCACAGTTGAATTTGTTCTCCCACCAGTGATACTGGTTACTCAAGGCACCAAGGGGCTGTAACCCTCTCTCCACAGAACCAGGAGCTCATAGACAATAACAGGAGGGCCAGCCACTCAGGGCTTTCGTGGCAGATGATGTCATGTCACTTATGACTCAAGTCTGTAACATCTAAAAAGCACAGAAGCTACAATGAGAAGAGTTCCTGTTCTGTCCCTCTCTCTGGTTTCCTTTTCCTGTTGTAAAGCCTACAGTCATATACTTATAAAACACATGACCCTTGCTAATTCAAGAGGCTTGGTTGTTTTCCAAGAGCTCATGTTGTGCTCGAGGCACTCGAAGAATAGAAATAGGTCATGTAGAGGCCAAATGCTTCCATTTCAAAATGACATTAATTTCTTGTATCAACATTTTGAGAGGGCCAGGGGATATTCTGAAAAAAAGAGATACACAGCAAATCCTGTTTTGATAATCATTTGAATGTTTCTGTAATGAAATTTCTTTGCTCCAATATGACTGGGTTGCCAGGAAAACTGTAAGGTAGCTTTATTTGTCTTCTGGGTCCAGCCTTCCCCCTGCCCCTCCTGTACCACACTCACTCATATGTGCTGGCCTCTCCCAGACACTGTCCACATGGTCCCCTTTGCACTCACTAACCTCATCCTGAATTTCTCCTTTCTATAAAATCTTTTAAACAAGCAAAGACCCTTAAGTATATTAAGTTCTGTTTAACAGGCATTCATTAAGTATTTCTGAATTCAAGGCACTGAATTTAACTATAGCTGATACAAAGATATGTAAGGTTAGTCTTCAAGCAGCTTCTAGTCTACAGGGTGACATAACACAAGTAATGCAAATATTAAATCTTTTTTTTTAAACTAAGTTCATTTTTTTAAAAAAAATGTATATATTTTTTTTTATTTCAGAGAGAGGAAGGGAGAGGGAGAGAGATAGAAACATCAATGATAGAGTCGTCACTAATCTGCTGCCTCCTGCAGGCCCCGACTGGGGATCGAGCACACAGCCCAGGCATGTGCCCTGACTGGGAATCAAACTGTGATCTCCTGGATCCTAGGTCGATGCTCAACAGCTGAGCCACGCCTGGCCGGGAGCAAATATTAAATCTTATGGGAGAAAGTGCAATTGTGCCCCCAAGTAAGACACAGACATTATTAGTGTTGAGAGAAAGGTGTGGATTCTCCATTAAATTAAGAGCATTAAAATCCTTACTTAAAGTAACTTGCCTTAGATTTATGTCGGTAGCTTATCCCTCAATTATGCTTTTCATGTGCTGTTAACTGGGGGGAGTATTTCGGACCAAAATGCCACTCCATAATGGCAAACATGGCCCTACACACACACACACACACACACACACACACAGTAGTCTGTTAAAGGTGAGAGGCTTGCTTGTGAGGTTTGCAGATTGCCATATAAGTTCTAGATTTTCAGAGTCTGAACACACACACACACACACACACACACACACACACAC